ATTGGGCTTTTGAATCCCCGAGTAGACTCATGAGATCCAGTCGTTTTTTAGGTGCAAACTGATTTCAGTTGTCAATTGGTGCAAGAACTACTGGAGGACAAGCAGTTACCGGAATAACTTCACGTTCTCAAGTGCCCCAAAGACAACCAGTCACCAAAGAATCTCGTCACGACGAAGTAAAACTACTCTTGGCGTGAATACTAAGTCTCACCTCGAATACTCCTTAAATAGTATCCGTGAAGATCGCATCTGCCGATGATTATTAAAGGCAGGAGCCTAGGTTCTTCAAATCCAACCGTTGCTTACCTAAATTTTTCCTTACCTAAACTGTGAGTGGTCCACAACAGTGGCCTATGATACACATGAACTAAGTGCGTTTCAAAAACATGCTGCGGTATTGTATGCCGTTTATTGGTCACATTTATAGTTTGATACTGGTCCAACGGTGTGCCGTAGATCAATGTATCTGTCAGCAAAACCTGTGGACATTAAAGTTTATCTGACAACAGCAATCAGAAAACTGTCCTATGCAACATACTTTGAAATGCCCTCAGTGTTGACCAGAACGAACAGACTAGCTACCCTCTGATTCTAGTGAAATAATGACTACGCGAAGTGCTATGGAACACGGCGTTACTCAGTGAATCTCGTCTTTAAAATCAACGATAAATAGGAAGATCTGTCACTCAAGGCAGTCAATGTAGCTGACATGGCGGTGACGCGGCAAGTGGGTCTTGTGTTTCTCGACCGCGGCGGTCGCCGTTGAGGAGTAGTGGGACAGCCCACTGATAAAAAACTCGGTCAAAGCAATCTCCTTAGAATGGACGATTCATATTCTGGAGGAAATAGATGAGGTACACAAAAATGGATAACTACCTCTGACTCTAGTTAGGCCAAGATGGGGACACCGGCACTAGTCACCTCTGCTTTAACAAGATTGGTACCAAATCTACCAATTTTTTCTTACCTTTTCCGAGAAAAACACACCTTGGTCATCTGCCCGATCTGACCCGCCAGAGTGTATGATACTAGCTATGCCTATCCTAATGTCAAACAATCACAAAATACCGACAGTTCCAAAAACTGGTGCAAATCACGGAGAAAACCTACTATTGACGACTGTGGTAGGTGGATGTTGGTAAACATAATCTTTGAGCCGTCATCGCTTATCGGACTTAGATATGTGCGGCCAAAGGCTAGCCTCTGAGTGTTCTTGGTTTTCCAGACCGCAAAACTCAAAACTGTTGGATGGTCGAAAAATAGCCACTCTGGTGTTGTTTTTTTTTAGCTCGGTTTACCAGTCCAAACTGACCGGTCCTACCAGCTGACTGGATTTTGAACTAAACAATGACTATCAGTAGGAATACATTCACAGTTCTTCAGTTTGTAATTGCAAACCAGGTGGTGTCTTCAGAAATATCTCCAACAGTTCTGGATATCAGGAATTTTTGCTTCCACACGGACTGAATTCTAAGGGTAACTAAATAACGAAACAAATTTGAAAGATCTTCGAATATGTTGTGGGTTGACGCGCGGTAGAACTATTCTGTGATTGAAGGATGAGCGGCACTATATCCTGTCTAAGTGCGAGTTAGTCACACTGCTGATCAGCCGCCCGTAGCCGAACGGTTACTTGTTCGAACTAATAGCCGGGAGTTTGTGAGTTCGAAACTCTCCGGAGTTTCGTGAGATGCGCACTGCTGATGATTCCCAATAAGGATGAAATAGTTGTACAGTGCTTCTGGGCCTTTCAGCATAGATTGGCTTCATTTACAGGACGAAATCTCCACAGAACTATCTTGATTTTATTTTCAAGGACACCAGAGAATTTCTATGGAACTCCTTGAGCTATTGGACATAACGAGGAATGGAACAATGCACCTTGGCGGAACACCCGGTTGAGTGAAAATGATCACACCACTGATCAACCGTTTGTGGCCGAAAAATTTTATTCCAAGTTCGAATCTCTCTGAAGGTTAGGCAGATACGCCCTGTGATGAGTCCAAGACGGATAAACAGATGTAGACTGCTTCTGGGCTCCTCGGCGCTGAATAACAGCGGAAAAGTTATCATCCGAACATGAAAATCATGCGAAACTAAGTTTGACATTGTATAGACATAACACACTAAGTATGGGGTGTCTGGAATCTCTTCAGCAGTTCAAGCTCTTCTTCTTGGGGCTAATCAGATAGACGCAGTACTCGATTTTACGTCAACCTTGTGTGCTGCCTGAGGCCAACTTCGACGTAATCTGACAGCTGGTCTTGGTTGCCTACGAATTTGGTTTCGACGAGTGACTCAACTGAATTCAGTCGAGTCTGTCGTTTATGATAATCTTCTTTGAGTAAATGTCTTGGTAGGTATACACGTCTGCTCAGTGTACAGCAAAGTTTTGTAATATTCTTAAGTTCGGCGACCCTAATTCGTCTGACTCAGTAATATGTGTAAATAACTCTGTGACCTTGACATTTGTATGCATATTGGGCGCGTGTTACCCAAGCGCGAGGTAAGTTCTTGCGCAAGCCGAATGCTTGAACTGCAGAGTCTGCCAGAATGGCTTCTTTGGGAAAGATTTAAGCTTAGGAAAATCTCTTCAAAGGACTCTACTCGCTCTTTCCATGGTCTTTAAATGACCATCATATCATTTTTTAAGGTAAAGCACATTCTTCAAGGACAATTTTAGCGATTTTGTAATTGTTGTGGCAACAGCCTTTCATTGCATCGAAGCTCCTGTCAATCTGGTACTCTGCCAGAAGTAAATTTCATCGGTCATGACCGTAATCAGAGTGAAGGCCACATTCATAGTAGTGGGTTACTTATTGAAGCACGATTAACTTCTGAGAATATATGTGCGCCCAACCTGTTGCCCTCGCTCCAGGACTAACCTGGCCGGGCGAAACAGATACCATAAGTAACGGATGGTCACAAAACAAGACGTCGTCCATCTGCTTCATTTGTGGGGTGTGGGATGAACGGTTTCCCTGAACACCATTCATCTTCCAACTCACAGTTGTTCTCGAATTCCTGTATCTGCTACATCTGTCCTGCAGTGCGCCATTTCTGACTTAATATTTAAACCTAGTAATTACTTATATGTACCGATTTCCCTCCACTGATGAGCCCACCCTGAGAAGGCCCACTCTGAAAAAGCAGTTTTGAAACGTATTTTAATTCCAAGTATCATTCATTCAGTCTCATCGCTAAACGAATCACCCTATTTTAGAGATACAGCTTCAATCTAATCGGGTGCGCAGATTCTTAAGCTGCAAGTTACATAAATGTCGGTTTATGGGTTAAATACACGCCACAACGATCCGACAGTATTGTCAATTTTTTTCGTTTGATCATATTACGACAATGGTTACCCTTATACCGTTATTTCATTGGACAGCCAAGCCGCTTCTGACCCTAATAAGATTACATAAAACTGTTTTACGTGGTAATATCTGATATTCGACCTTCCCGGTACCAGTAATATTATCTCCGGGCTATTGTTGTTCATTCTCAACCGAAACAGGCATACTGGTCCACCGTAGATCTTGGATCTTCAGTCTACTGCGTGAATGCCCCACCGACACTTGCGGGCGATGTCACCAACTAAAGGCGGTTAGTGTCCGACAAGGCAAGAGCACACAGACACATCACCAGTCTTCAGGCATCACCAGCGAAGTCACACACCACTATTGTCTGATGTTCGCTGTAAAAGTACATCTTGTTTCATCCACTGGACGCTGGCAACTAACTCTTCTAACCATCAATCAAAAAAGCTTTCTTCGCAAAGTCAATCGACCCACAACATATCTTCTCATTTGCACACAGATTTGGTTTTATCAGGAAACCCAACTGAATACAGCTCAATTTATCGTTTACGACGGTTCATCTCAACTGAATGTGCTGCACCAGGCCGCCTCATGTTTCAGTTGGTACGACATACGAGGTACCGTGGTACATTGTACAGACGTAACACACTACTCATCTAAATAGTAATCCAAAAAGCGTTCGTCATGAAGTTACTCGAACTAGTTCATCTTCGCTATTCTTGGCAGATATAAGTTTTTAAGAGTCCCTATAGCTTTCATTAAGGAAACTACTCAAAGGTTGCTGAAAACTCTTCGACAGCCCACGACCGGTTTCGCCCTTATTGAGGCTCATCAGCTAGGCGCGTTCCCCGAGTTTCCGTCAACCTTATGATCTACTTGAACCCAAATTGGACTGTTTTCGAGAAGTAATCTCATTTGCAAGTCAATTTGGTTTTCACGAGAGATTCAGCTGAGTCTCTCGTGAAGTCCCTCTAGTTCTTCGAATTTGAATGGGGCGTTATAAGTTCAGGGACTTTCGTTGCCTAGTTAACGAATTTACCCTAATCAGGGCATGCTTCGTCGAAAAAAATCAACAAATCAGTGGGAGAGGTCTTCAGTATTGAAAATAAGTAGTACATACTACTACCGTTGGAATATCCTGCAATCAGGACATGGGATGAAGTCAAGTTTGTACTTCAGGTCACCTGGAATGGTCAAGCACTACTGACGATGTCCAACGGGAACCGAACTACATCCCATAACGGTTTTCTTCATGTGTGCCACAACCTTACACTGCCTCTTGTCTGAAAAATTGATTCTAGTTTAGTTCCATCAGAATAACAAAGTATCTTTAGTATAACTGGCCAAGTATTTTCGTAGCATATAGTGCCCTGCTCATCTGACAGACTGGGCCTCTTTGCCGCATGATTTTACCCGATCAAGAGCACCGCAACCTGTCAAAATAGGTTCATGAATGTTCGGCCATTCAGTTGTCTACTAATCAACCTTTCTTTCAGATAGATTTGATTTCAGCATCGTCTAGTGCATTATGGGTTACCGTGTGGAGAAGGACCTTGTTTAAACTTTGTCACTCAGCTAAAACATACCGGCCACACTTACCCTGCTTTCTTAATTCATGCAACACTATCGAACTCACAGGTTCATTAGAAATTAGCGGTACAAAACATATGCATCACAAACCTGTTCGAAGCTGAAGTCCTTTCTAGTTTCATGTTTGAAATTAGGAGAACTCGATTCTGGCGCTTTCATCTCCACCTTCCCAGTGCTTGTCTGTCTTTCTGAAAAGTTTACGCTTTCGGACAACGGAGTGCATTTGCTGGCATGCTCTGGGATCTGACTTTCGTAGCTCGTCATACTGGAGTTCATATAATAGATCGGTGCAAATTCAACCTTCTCGTGAAACTTCACTTGCTTTGTTGTGTCTTTTGATACTTGCTGGCGTAGAAATCCATCGTCGGTGGTGAAAGAATAACTATCTGTTGTGAAGGTATCTTGTGAGCTGGTTTCCGTGAAGCTGGAGCTGCCTTCAGTCATGTCCGTCGTACACGATCCGATTGATGACGTTCGGGCATGGTTACGTAAGCTTTCTGTGACGTCACCCAGAGGGTCACTATGTGACGTGTAGTCACTCGAATCCATAAAGTTTTGGAAACGTGTGCATAGAGGACCACTGATTGAAAGGGCCTCAAATGTCACGTGCAAAAAGACGTGGACAGGGATGTATGGGGACCAACCAGAGTCATCCAGTCTAGTCCAATGAGCTATCGCGTTCTGCTGCTTGCCTATTGGTTGTTACGCTGGCGTGGATTTGGATGAGCCAATGAATGGGAAATTTCAACTAAGACAGTTTTTGTCACCCACCGTGACAGCACTGAAATCGTTGCTGAAATAACAACCAAATCTGAATGAGAAGGAAGCGTTGCTTTAGCCTAGAGATATATATATATATAACGATAACTCGGCTCTATGGTTCCACCCATTGTGAAGAGTTCCACTCGAAGTTACGTCTTCACTATTGCCGATGTGAATGGAACCTTAGTAGCATGTTGCAAAAAAACTGCCGTGCATGCATTATAATATCCTGTTGGTTAAACTAAGTGAAATGAAGAAGAATTTTGAAGGGAAAATATGTCTGGACCACCGACAACCAAAATTGAGTGAAATTTCGTAATGCACTACTCATAAGGTTGCTGAAAATCCATCGACAGCCCACGACCGGCTTCGCCCTTCTTGGGGTTCATCAGGTAGGCTCAGTCCCCGAGTTTTTGTCAACCTTATGTTCTACTTGAAACCATATTGCAAGAAATTAGCGAATATACACTCATTTGCAAACTAATTTGGTTTTGTGAGAGACTCACCTTGAAACATCACAAACGAGAGATTCAGCTGGGTTCCAGGTGAGTCTCTCGCAAAACCAAATTAGTTTGCAAATGAGCGTATTTCGTTGAATGAAATCTCTTTTTGACATTACCTCGAGAACATGAGCCTTTGCTTTCACAGTTCTAAGAGTCTGACTTTTCAAGTACTGATTTTCGACCTAAAATGCTGTTTATCCGTGAACCACGTCACAAAGGTGTCAGTTTTTGGTCTTCTCAACTGTTAATGCTTTTACTTGTAAGTTCTGATATAACCAGTGTTAGTTCACTTGAAAATTCAGAAAATTCAGGTTTCACTGAGCGTAGAGGGATGATTTTCCACCGCAGGAAGCGAGTTTTGACCGGAAGTTAACAGTGGAACAATATCGTAACGTGTATCCCCATTTAGTATCTTCTGTTGGTGGTGGAAAGTTCAATTAGATATTTGAAAAGGTGAAAGGAAGAGATCCAAACTCAGTGTGGACCCCTGAGCAACACACCCACCAGGCTGGTTCCTGGTAATGCGTTGAAATATTGTTAACTCAGGTGTACTCACTGGCAGCTGAACAGGTGGATGCCGGTCTGTTTGTCGAGTCTTGTAATTGTATTGCAAGCGTTTCGTCACCATTCGGAAAGGTCTCATCTGTTAGCCGAGCCACCTAACCAACTACCAATCATGCCTCTTCATAGTACGCTTACCCGAAAGTCTGCACATAGGTGAACAATGCATCAGCAGAAGCAGATTTTAGTGTCCGTCTTGTGGAGTTGGGATATCATAACAATATTATGAAGAGAAAAGCAGAAGCCTACCTCCAGTTTCAACTAAGAGAATCCAGGGAATAATTCAACTCGCAACAAGGAGCACTTCAGTTATCTTCCGCGACTTCATACACTAAATCTTGAAGACTTTAGGTATTCACACGTAAGTGTGCTCCCAAATAAAGGGGAAGGAACAATTCCTTAGTCAGACGGAAAATGGTAATTTATCTATTATATTTACATTTCACTATTACTGATGAACCGGGGTTGTGTATGAGTGAAGCCGTTATCAACCAAGGATTAAAAATTAAGGCTTCTTTTCCGGGACTGAACATGACTACATTTGTACGCCATACGATATGTTGAACTAGATTTAAAACTGAATTGTTACGTTTGCTTTTTTAACTGCATAACATCGTGATATCCGCTCTAACCTTATGCTGACCAGCAATGCCTTTGTCCCTATTGGACGAGTTATTTATAATGCTCTATAGAGCAAAATCGATATCATCTTCCTTGAGGTCACGTGAGAGTGATGCAATCAGTCATCCTAGGGGGAGTCATCCCTAGCATGACTAGTGTAGAAACAGTATTTGTCACTCAATGTCGGCTTTGTCATTCGCTATGACCGTAAGGACCGGGAACGAGGTAACGGATTCGAATCAACGGATTGAAATGACGCTCTCCGTTTTTGCATCATTTTCAGACTCCTCATAGAATAAATATCAAACCTTACTTCTTTTCAAAGTGACCACCGTCTAAGTAGAACTAACGACTAATCACGTGTTCTGTCTGACTTAGCTTCGAATAACTTATCAGCCTGCACTTTCAACTGCAATGGATAACGATTTCCCGCACGTGAAACCACGGTTATCGTCATCATATGACAGGTATACTAATGCGTACTGATTAATCTGAAGAGGATAGGCTGTCGTTTTTCATCCGATAAACACCTTTGTTGCCAGAAAGGTAGATTTAACTCAGTCTGGGACGTGGCAGAATTATTGACAAACTGTTCAACCACAGCCGGAGTAAGCACCGCTGAAGTAAAATTCCCACTGTGACTGGCTCTAAACAGGTTTCTTGTTTCAACGGATCGAAAGTTTGGATCACAGCTGTCACCATTGATACGGGCCAACAGTAAACTCGTTTTCGAAAAAAAACTAGCAGGTTCGTAGCGTAGATGTCTTAAAATGGAGCAGTCCAAGTCCCTTACTGTTTCAGCCTGATTCCAAATTAGTCTGTAAACCAGGATTTCCACGAAGGGGCTCCCTCTGGACATGCGAACCACGGGTGTTCGTCAGTAGACTGGCTAGTTCATTTTATTGTGGAGGATCATCAGGTAGATTGTACGCTTACAACGTGTATTCTAGGTTGGTCCTTATCGGGTATGTCCACACCTCATCGTGTTGCAGTGGTCCGTGAGCCATAGTGGAGAACTCCGTGCAGCATTCTTAGAGTCTCTCTTACTGGGTTGCACAGCCGATAGAAGTCGGACAGACAAGGTCACCTGGCCCTCTAGGTTGGGTGCTGTAGCAAATGTGGCATACCGTTCCATAGACTTGTACTATGACAGTAATCTTATGGCACTTTGGCACGTAAGTCGAACACCAAGGGAAGTCACCACTTACGCTCATAGCTGCCAGGCTACTTTCATTGATCAGACTCCGAGGTCTTGTTTATTTCTTATCTCAGTCTTTATGTTTGTGCCCTGAAGCAAACAAGTTGATCTTGTGAATGTCCTTGCTATCTGCCCGGCATTATGAGCCCCAATAAAAATCTAAGCACAATACTCGCGGTATCTTCACCGCCCTAACAGTTTTGGCTGCAAAAATCAGGAGAGGTTTTGGTTAAGTACCACCGGCTTATGTTGAGTTCTCGCCTCACTCCCAAACTGAGGCTCCTCTGCTCATTTGGCTACATGCGAGGCGCCGCCGCTATCGTGTTCGTATCTCAGGAATCACATTGGTCAAAATGCCAGTCGCTATGCGTTCCAAGCAAACGTAGCCGCCACTCCGTCGAGACACGACCAGACTCTTTGTTACCAAGGTCAGTTCAATTCTGGGCCGAGAGTATGAATGCGCGTGGCCTTCATTAAACCACACTCAGTACGTTGTGACAGTATTGATTCTTTTACAACACTGCGCTGACCGCCGGGTGTTTCACAATAGTTTTGGATTTATGCACAGTGGATGATGCACGGTGGATGATGTGCTGGTGTCCACGTGCTTCTGAATAATCAATCGAGGGTCCTTTATTTTGTCGTTGGAAAGGTTCAACACTCGGCCGGCGATCATTCTGGAGTAAATATAGATATTCAGGCGATGTTCCTCTTCTTACAGGAACTTTTACCCAATTTCCTGAGTGAACCCAAGCAATGAACGTCTCGTTCGTCGTGCGAAATACTTTCCGAGCCGCGCACTGAGTAAACGTATCGAAAATCCTGTACACAGTGCTTTAAAATGCATCAGTCGGAAGTGGGTGACGATGACGATTGTAGATGTGGCTGGAAGCACAGTCTATAGCTCAGAGTGGCTGCTGTCATTTATCCATAAAGACAGTGATGGGGTCGCAGCGTAATCCGACTAGACGCTCTGCCATACCTTGGACCAAACAACGTTTCTACGTAGATTGAGGTGTTGAGATCAGAAAGCGGAAAAACGCAGAAATGCAAGAAAGCTTTTCCAATCAGTTGACAAAATAGGCTCCAGAACACCCTTTGTGACTGGTGCAATCGAAAATAACATCCTGAGGCTGGGCATTAAAATTTAAACGGTAGTTAATTTGAACATCGATTTTGGCATCCTCAGCTCGAGACGTGGAATGTGAGTGTAGATCTTCCTTCGTTCCAAGTAGGACTGCAGTGTCTTTGTGTCTTGAAGCGTTGTCAGCCGAGATGACCAGCGCCACTTCAACATTTGTGTGGTTTCTTGTTCCATCAAGGTAGAATCTTTATAGCTGTGTTCAATTCTACACTAAGTATTGACTGTCCAGACCCTAATGTCTGTCATTACGCAAATACTGACACCAGTAAGGCTGCGACGCCTAATCCCGACACATGAAACCATAATACGAAAGCAACAGACTCGATTTCTTTCTTTTGTCGAATACTTGGACTGTAACTGCGGTCTTTCTCTATGTTAAACGGGGGGGGGCGCGAGATGGCTTAGTGGTTAGAGCCATCTAGGTTACTGATTAGAAGGTCCGTGGTTCGAACCCGACCTCTGCCTCTCGACTTCCCCCTATCTAGGTTTGGTCAACCTGGCAGTATCCCAGCCCTCGTGCTTCCTTTGAGTGGCACCGAAAGGGTGTTATAGCTGAACGGTTATGTTTTTATGTTAGACGAGCATCTGATCCCAAACACAGGGTAGTTCCTGCATATAACCTCAGCCAAAGGAAAGTGCCCCGAACATTATGAATGCCCTTCTTGCACCATATTCTCACGGACCTGTTCGCGTCCGAGTTCACAAAGAACAATGATAATAGACCTTTCGTAACAGCTGATTACAATTGCCTTTCCTGATC